AGATAAATGAGTTAAAACTTTTCTCCATCTTGATTGTGAAGAAAACGGTAACTGGTCACTAGTTCCAGTTACTGGGAACGGTAACTGGTCACCAGTTCCAGTTACTAGGAACGGTAACTGGTCACTAGTTCCAGTTACTAGGAACGGTAACTGGTCACTAGTTCCAGTTACTAGGAACGGTAACTGGAACTGTCCCACCTCTACCTAGCAGATAAAATGTAGCAAATTCAATTTTCGATATTTCTTCTCTTCTACTTCGGACTGAACTCCGTAAAACGCTTTCTTTACGGTGAACATGTGACTTTTTTGATTCATCTCACTTTTTCATCAGAAAGGTGTTTCTTACTGTCGAGTCTAGAAAAAAAAATTTAGAAACTTAAATTTCTTACATTTTATCTGCTAGAGCCAACTTGGTACAAATCAATCTACGTGGAGAAAAATACATGAATTATAGTTTTTCTCCATAAAGACCGATATCTAGAAAGCAGATAAAATTTAGAAAAATAAAATTCTCTAAACCATGTTGTCAAAACACCAAGAATATATCCCACTGATAATCGACAACCATCATCTAATTCAATTAGTTCATTAAACTTATTACCATCAACGGTATCATACAAATCAATATGCTCTAATTTAGATAAATAAAGTAAAATAAATGTACGACATGCTGAATGCATTAATTCTAATTCAAAACGTTGAGATAAGATGAGAAGAACGGTAACATTGTCATTGTTAATTGTACATTCAAATTGTGGATATAAAAATTTTAACATTTCAATTGTTTCATTAGGTGTAACATCGAGAATTTCAATTGTGTCCAAATTGTCTTGTAAATAAGATTGAAATATTTTACTAGCTGTAGCTAAAATACTTTTATCAACATACAATACTTTGTCTTAAATGAAAAAACAAATTCGATGATGTAAATGCTTATTTTATGATTTTTACTTTAAAGTCACAAATACCTTGAACAATTAATGTTAAATCACTAAACGGATGAGTATTATAGAAAAATTCTTCAAC